TGTTGGTGCAATGGAAATTTAATTACTTTTAATTCATGATTTTAACTCATGTGTAGATAGGGATCTTCTGTTTGCCACCTTGTGGGGTAATTCCTCTTCATAATCATCCCGGCATGACCGTGTTCTGCAAGCTTCTAGCTGGAACCATGCATGCCACGTCATATGATTGGGTGCAGAATCACCAACAGTTTAACCATTGTAAGAAATCATTTAATTTTAATTGGTGCATAATTGATACTAATTGAGCACACGCTAATGGTGTAAATTAATAATATTTTCACCATCAGTATTACAGTTTTACTTATGTATAGCAAGCTACCTCTCTCTTAATTTCACTTATTATCGGCAATTGCCTGAAAATATTTTTTATGACTCTGATATTGTAAAATTCATTTACATTGTAAAGAAGTAAAACTCATAGAACATTTATTAAACAATTATTGGGTACAGGCGAGCAGCAATTAGCTGGGATTCGGCTGGCAAAGGTTCATTTTGACGCAGACTTGAGTGCACCGTGCAATGCATCAGTTCTATTCCCGGAATCAGGAGGCAATTTGCACTGCTTCAAAGCTCTAACGCCTTGTATTCTACTGGATGTTTTAGGTCCACCTTACTCCGAATCAGAAGGCCGTCGCTGTACACACTATCAAGATTTCACTTATGACTGTTTTTCTGGTATATATGACACAACTAATAGTGTCTGTTAAGCTACATATATACAATAGTTTAAATTTTATTAGTTAATGGATTAATTGCAGATGTTAAAGAAGTGGAGGCGGAGGAGGATGGCACAAGATATGCGTGGCTACAAGAAAGAAACGAGCAGTTTGTAGTGTTAGGGGGAACATATGACGGTCCTACAATTCAAATATAAAGACCTTAGCTTGTGTATATATATAACTCTTCTAAGTAGCCTTTCTATGAGCATACAAAGAAATTTCATTTGACATTTTTCAACTAGTCATTAATTTCTTCCTCTATTTATTTGGTGGTTGAAGGGATCCTTTGTTCCTTGGTTTTTCCGTATCACTTTTTGGAATCCACGGCAGCGAAGCTAGAGTTTTTAATTTTATGGGTTCTGCACCATAATTATTTTTACTTACTGGGTTTTAGATATACTATTTATATAAATTAAATTTAATAAATTATTCAATACAAGTACGTACCAAGTTCTGTCCAAGGCTAATGGGTTATTCCGAAACGGTTAATTTTCCATTTATGAGGCACAGGAGTCGGGACCTACATCATATATAATTTTATTGTTGTTGTTGTTATCTTTGCAACAAAAAGGCCAATATGATATACTGCACGTATATTTGTGGGGGGGGGGGGG